TTTTTTTTTTTGCTAAAAAAATATCAGGTTGCCTTTTTTTGTTTCAGTTACTGTCTAAAACAATTATTTCCTACTGGCGCTTTAGTACCCATTTTTTTTGTTTTCAGCTTGTTCTCACGATTTCGCGTTTGAGTTTGATGTTATTTATTTTCCGCTTTCACCCATCAACGCATAAGCTTTGCTTAAGGGCTTTACTTCGGGGTGTAGCTTTCATAGAGCACATTTTTATATATATATATTTAAAAATAAGTGATGATATCTGTGTAGTCAATTTAAATAAAATTTTGATGTTTTCGATTTAAAAATTCGATTTGACTTGCATAACACTTGGTGAAAATCGTTAAAGTTTAGTTTCCACTTTGATTTAAAACGTTGCCTTATGCACGGGTACTTCAAGGGCATGTGAAATTTAATAAATATAAATGTAATAGAAGCTTTTGGTGAAGTGTAGTAAGCCAGACATCACTGCTACCCTTAGAGATTTGGTGATTAGAGCAAGATAAGAAGACACTAGGATTATGCACCATCAAATTGCCAATTGCTCATTAAGGAGCGCAGTTCGTTGTCGGATTTGTGTTGCGAAAGATCTTCCCCTGTGTAGCGCACTCTTGAGCACTGCCTCCGTCACAACAAAAATCGTACCTGATCATGGTAAGGTAGTTAGCGAAACACTGTGCACAATATAGAGAAAGTGTTTTTCTTGCACGGATCAATTCAAATGCCTTGACCAGCACTCAGCACCAATTGGCAGTGTTGGGTGGACACACTTACCACCTTGGTAGGGCCGAAACCTACCTAAAGCCTCTGCCGTTCTCTAGATCCCGGCATCCGGTTGCAATGCAACTCGACATTGAACCATTGCTGGTTCTACCCGCATTTGGGCGTTAAACCACAACCACCACGATACCTCCCGAAGGGCCGCACCATGAACAGACCGAAGTAATGCTCATCCCCCAGACTAGCTCGACCAGCCAGACTCGCCCGACTTGCTCGACTTGCCCAATTTGCACTTGCCAGACTTGCCAAACTTGTTCACATGAACACCTGATACCTCCCGCTTGGAGACATTTTCACCATTATACACAATTTCACCATTTTATTCTTCCTTCCATTCAATTTCTTTCTCACCGTTTTGCAAGTCTTGCAAGTGCTCATCGTGCTTGTCTTGCATTTCATGCTCGTTCCTCTAGCTTTGCCCATCTAGCCAGCGAACACACTCCGTGGGCATTTTGCTCCCCATGGTATCAGAATTAAGTCTCGGATCAGACCTCGAAAGCCGTAAACTTCTACCAGTTGAGCTTCCACTCGACTCAGGACTGGTAGCCTTTGGCGGGGTACCTCAGGATTGTCAAGCCCCTAGTTCCACTTACGCGGAACTCCCTGGGGGGAGCCTACCACAACAATCATATTTCGAAAGCTGCGAGAAAGAGCCCTATCTCAGAAAATGGCACCGCCCTTCTTCAGAATTTGGTTGAAATCTTTCTATCTCAGAATTTGGTTGGAGAACACCCTATCTCGACTGAAAATATATTACTCAACAAAGTGAGCATGTGGCCTGGCAGTCTGGCAAAAGAGCAGATCAGCTCAATCAATCACTGTTGTCAACATTCGTTGCTTGAACTCATCTGCTCTTTTTCCAGAGTGCGAGGCCACTTGCTCAATTTGATGAATACCACTATTGAAAATATGTTGAGATAGGACGTCTTTGAAGCAGCAGCTGAGCTAGGACGTTTTTCACTGAATTCTGAATAAGGGAGTTCTTCAATAAAGTTCTGGGGTAGGCTTTATTTCAACCAAATTGTAAAATTGGGCATTCTTCAAAAATTTTCTGAGATAGGGCGTTTTCGACCCGGCTATCAAGATACATAGTTCGATCATGCACCCAGCCGTCGATATAATAAAGAACTAAGACTTTTAACGGCGCGGTCGTCCCTCGGCAGACAATGGCAAACCTCTGAGTGTTTTTCTGCCATGAAAAACAGTTTCTCACAAAAATACAATCGCCGTTCGGAGTCGGCGTAAAACTGTAGGTCCCTCCACTTTGTGTGACATTATTATTATTAAGACTTTTAACGTGTCTCACTACCGCTGAAAACCCAGATGCTCCCTTAAGGAAACGTTAACGAAATTCGGAAAAGGAAGAAAATAAATGCGAAATGCGTGAGTCCATAGTGCCTAAGGCGCTGGCTGATAGCAATAACGATCGAAAACTCAATCTTAAAGGTTATACACTGAAAATAAAATCTGCGTAAATATAACGAAAACTTGCGTACATCTTACGAAAATTTTCGTCATTTTGAGCCACGAAAGTTTTCGTTGATTGTACAAAATCGTTTTCGTACATACTACGAAAATATGAGACATCAGATCTTAGTACATTGTACGAAGGAATTTCGTACTATTTACTAAAGAAATTCGTACTATTTCTTTATTTTTTACGAAATTTTTGTAAAATGCACAAAAATAATTCGTATATTTAACGAAATTATTTTCCTAAAAACTGCAGTTGTTTCGTAGAATTTGCAATTGCTTTCACTCACCACACTGTAAAAAACATAGTACGAATCATAACGCAACGCTTTTATTTTTTTTTTATCCAGCAAACCCCTCTTTAAACGTTTAAAATTATATTATACGTGTCACAGCAGCCAACCAGTAATTTCGCAATGACACGCGGTACATACATAAAAATGTGATGCAATATTAAACTGCCGGTAATTTAGTATATTGCACGAAAATATTCGTCTGTTGTACGAATTTAAAAAACATGTTTCTGCATTAGTTCTATATACGAAAGTATTACGAATACAGAATTGTAGATTTCGTATATTTTAAAACCACACGTAAACATTACGAATACATTCGTACAATATACAAAATTATTCGCACAGAGATTTGTTCAGTAATTTATGAATGTGTTTCGTAAAATAAACGTAAGATTTCGTAAATTGTACTGAAAAAATGCCTTACGAAAGTCATTTCATTATATTTACGAATGGTTCATAAAATTTTGTTTCGTTGTGAAAAATATGTTCGTATAATGAACGAAAGTCTCGTATATTGTACAAAAACCAAGACTACGAAAATTTTTCGTAGCACTTTTACGATTTTTTTTTTCAGTGTAGGACCGGGACGAATTTATGTTAGAACAAGACTGACGAACTGCGGAGGACAGTTCTTTCTTGAACCGACGTAATGGTACCAGCAGTGGCAACCTTAGAGAAGATGATAAACCAGATCCTCAAATCGAAAAGAGGATGAGCGCATACCTTAGCTTTGATCGAATTTATAGCCATTTGAAACCGCACGAAAAAGAATTGCTCCTTTGCTGCGATATTTGAGTTTTGTATCCCCGCAAAAGTAATACTTCATTCGAACACAAACGAGATTTCTGAAAGATGTTCGAGAAGCTACTTTGAGCTCAACAAGCGCACCTTTTGTTCTACCTTTCCGAAAGTAGTAAAGGCGCCACGCCGGCGGTGGGGTCTGTTGGTGAACGAGTACAAAGTGCAGTATCTCACTTTCATCGAAGGAGCAATGAGCACTTTGGACTACGTTTTAAGTAGTGGAGAATTTTGAAAACTTGGCCACCAACACTAACACCATGCTTGCGTTGTATGCCAAGTTAGGGTGTCTTTGGAAAGACTTTACGGAGGAAAGTAATAGTAGGAAAGTTGATCCGTGAAGTCCTATTTCTAAAATAAAAATATTCTTTATTGATCGTTCACCGTGCTAAGCACGACGAAATGACAACCAGAAATAATCAAAATAAGTTCTACAGGGGGGACCTAACCTGCAGTATAATTTCCTAAAAACCACACATCCAAAAAAATTGCATAAATCTGTTTCACTTACGGCAAATTGCACCAATTTCACTATTTCACGTCGATGTGTTTGCCTAAGAAAAATTACGTTTTTACGTCAGCCAATCCTGTGTGACCATGTTTGCTTGACATTGACAAGCGGCATTGCAGCCGCTGTTTATTAAAAAAGACAAAAAAAAGGCAACATATTGGTTCAGCTTACTTTGATAGGAGCTAACCCAGCCGTGTGTGTGCCTTTGCAAAGGGCTTGTGCGCATTGTATTTGCTTCCGCTTCCAGTTTTTACATCCGCATGGCATAGAAAAAGTTTGCGCACACCCATGCGCACTTATGTAGGTCGCGTGTCTGCCTACATTTGTGGGCATATGTATGTATGTGTACTTGCGCTTCACTAAAAAGTGTACCTTCCACGCTGACCGCGTTTGTTGAACCGTGTCTACAACGGTGAAGGCTAAACAAGCTAGCTGCCAGCTGCCAAGAGTAGAGAAAATAGCGAAACAATTTGAACAATTGTTGATTTTAGTTGGTTTTTCATTTGAGTATTTTCTGCACATAATTTTTTTTTTTTTTAGTTTGTTAAGTTCTACCGCACACGCATGCTTGCATATGTTTCTATGTATGCATAAATATATGTAGGTTTTTCAGGAAGCCTTTCCATGTTAGCCTTAGGCGCTCGAGTGTCAAAAAATTGTGAAAATTGTTTTCTAGAGCTTTTTTTTTTCAGTTTGATTGGAAAGTGACGTAAAATCACTTTGTATGCGCGTTTGGGTAAAAAATAGCTTTGCAATTTTTTCAAACAATGTTCGTATTTGTGGTATACAGTTCCGTTTATTAAAAAGCAATTTGGAGTGACTATCAAACGTATTTTGAGTGACTTTTGAGTGACTTTGAGGAGCGGATTACGTTGATTGTCTCTGTTTGATTTTTAAGAAACAAAAAGTATTTCAGAGAATAAATAAATACATGCATACTTTTTTAATCAAGCATTTGCGGAGGTAGAGTATGTTTTTAACGGATTAAAAATTCGAGTGAAAACTTCATGATTGGGGAGCCGGAGTTAAATGATTTCTGTAGAAACTATTTTTTGTTTATTGTAGAAAAAATCTTACTCTCAAACTATGTACATATATACATATATTAAATAAATATTTAATGCTTACTTTTTTCTTTTTTGCAGGAAAAATGGACTGAAATGATTTCAGTAGACATACGCTCAAAGTAAATATATCGAAATCAAGTCGATGATATGGTTCTAAAGAGGCTTAGTAGCTGATGATCTCGCCGTGAGTTTGAATAATTACCAAATAGCAAGTGAAAATAAAGCACCATTGACTCTCAGAGCGCGGAGCGCGCGAAGTAGCTCACTTTGTGAGCTCTGCGTGAGAGCGTTTGGACCTAGTTCGATGACGGCGCACTCCCATAAGTTGCCGCTTTGTATGCTGCTGCTAATCGCACTACTACACAATACAGCAACAACTACCGGAGGCACGCATCAAAAAAGAGAATACAGAGTAACCAGAAGATTCATAGAAATTGGCAGCGAACAAGCGTTTTCAGCAGAGACGATACGAGAGTCGGTATCGAAGGGCAGCAAAATTGGGGAATGGCATATAGAAGGTGTTGAGTGCAGAAAGGGAGAAACAGTACTAAGGGAAAATAAGAATGCGGAAGAAGCGCCGGCGAAAGAGAAAACTACCCCCTGTCTCAATGGCAGTAAAATCCTCACAGCAACGAGAGCAACTCAGCTTAGCATAGACACCAACCAACTGGTGAGAGAAGGTCTTTTCGCGAATGTGAGCAGCGCCAAGAATTTAACACCAGCACTGGAGGATAAGAAACCGTGCTCCGCCGTACATGACATTCTCAAGCATCAGATCGTTTTAGATGTTAAGCCCATCACCAATTCGAAAATCCTGCACAAAACACCCGCGCCAGCAACAACAATTGCCACCTTCTCTTTGCGCCTTAAAAACGCACATACCAGTAGTCATATCAATTATCCGCCGCCAAGTGCAGCAATTTCACCGCTTTCACATTGGCCAGCATTGCGTTTTAAGCGGCAACAAGCAGCGCTCCCACATAAAACGCAGCAGCTGAGCGCATTACAGAGTAGCACCGGCACTGCAGCGCACTACAATCCATTACCCGCTGTGCCATTACCGACGCCACCACCTTTTCCCGGCAATTTTGCAATTTCACCATTTAGCGGCGGCGGTGGCGGCGGTGGCGGCGGCGGCGCCAAGCACATCAGCACCGCTGGCAATGTTTTGAATGCCTTCGCCGGTTTCTCATCCGCCTCTTCCGCTTTCTCAGCCACACATCGCACAAATTCGCTTTGCGGTGGCATCCTTAAGTCGCGCTATGGCACTCTACAGACACCAAATTTTCCACATAAATTCCCAGCACCCATCGAATGTGTGTGGGTAATTGATGCCTCTGAGCTGCCAATTACAACTTCCGCTGCTGCAGCTGTAGGCGGCGGTGGCGGTGGTACCAACGTCTCCATCATCGTTTACCTAACGCAATTGTATGTGCTGGGTGGCCTCAAGTTCACCGAATATATGTACTATTCGGATGATTATAAAGTGCCGGCACACCGTGTGTTCACACTTACTGAAGATGACGTGACACAGGTGGCATGGGTGCAATTTAGTAGTCAGTATCTGGAGATACGTTTCACGATGACCTCTTTGGATGGCACACATTTGCGCGCCTTGGATCGTCTGCTGGACGTATATGGCTTCAATATTACCTATGAGGTGCAGCAGCAGGTGAAGACGTATCAGTGCAATACACTGCAGTGTCGATTTCTCGGCCATTGCTATGCGAAGGCGGACTACAGGTGAGTGTGTGTAGCAAGTAATAGCATACGCAGTAAGTGTGGCAGGGGGTTTATTTTCTCCTAGTTTGTCACTAATATATAGAAATTTTCGATATTAAAAATGTAGAAGAGTGGAGTTGCAAGCAATGAGACTAGGAAATATGCATGTACTTAGTGATCAAACTACAGAGCAACAGCAAAGGCCTCCAATCGTTCACGATAGCGCATAAGGCACAATTAAAGTAATGCAAGTAATTAGGGGGACAGTTATAAATTATGTCAAAACACTATACTGTGGACTGCAACGGAATGCCTTCCCATGTCGCTTGAACATTGCCTGCACAATCGGCACTAAATGCATTTCCTTCAAGGGACATAAGTAGTTATACCTTCACTATCTGCCGGAGTTTTCCGCGATGACTGGAAATTGACTTTTATTACGCCAATTCTTAAAAGTGGTAATAAAAATTATATTGAGAATTATAGGCCGATTTCTAAGCTTACCACTGTCTCAAAACTGTTTGAGTCCATAGTTAAAGATAAAATTTACTTTGCTGTTAACCGGGTAGATCTACGTTAACCAATTTAGCTGCTTTTACAGAGAACTGTTTGGAAACCTTTCAAAAGGGATTCCAAATTGACGCTATATATACCGATTTCTCTAAGGCTTTTGACATGGTGCCTCACCGAATATTGATAGCTAAACTTGAAGACCTGGGCTTTCATTCAGAGTTTCTGAAGTGGATCACATCCTATCTGTACAATGGACGCTGTGTTGTTGGTCTTGATAATGTATCGTCTTATTTTTTTGTCTCCTCCTCTGGTGTTCCCCAGGGTAGTGTCTTAGGTCCGTTATTATTTGTTATCTTTATTAATGATATGTCTTCCTGTTTCTCAAAGTGTAAGTTTCTTCTATATGCGGATGACCTGAACATATACTATGAAATTAAAAATATAGCAGACTCATTGATTCTCCAGGGTGAGCTTGATAATTTGTACTGTTGGTGTGCGCGTAATCGTTTGTCCCTCAATATTGGTAAATGTCATTATACCTATTTTGCAAAACTGATTAGTATTGTTCCAACCTCTTACTGTTTTTCGAATGTCCCGCTAAAATCAATTACTGATTTTAAAGATTTGGGTGTTTATTTTGACTCCAAGCTCACCTTCACCACCCACATAAACTTTATTGTTTCTAAATCATTCGCGATGTTGGCCTTTATTCGTCGCAACTGCTCGTCATTTTCCGATCCTTATACTCTCAAAATGTTGTATTCATCTTTAGTTCGGTCGAGGTTAGAATATGCTGTATTTGTTTGCAGACCTTTTCATACAGTTCATGTGAACAGATTGGAGTCTGTTCAGAGGGCTTTTATACGCCTTGCTTTGCGTCCGTTGAAATTTGTAGACCCTATTCCGTCCTATCGTTCTCGTTGTTTGTTGATAAATCTCATGTCATTAGAGTCCAGGCGTACTCTGTTATCGATGTGCTTTGTCTTTGACATAATTGCAGGCTCTATAGATTGCTCGCACCTCCTTATGAAAATTCGTTTTAATGTTCCCTCACGTATTCTTCGTTGTAATGAATTGTTTTTTGTGCGTGGTGTTAAAACAGTTTATGGTATGAATGCTCCTTTAAGGAGGACTCTCTCCCAATTTAATGCTTATTCTTAAACTTTAGATTTCGATTTTTCTTACTCAAAGTTTACTTATAAGAATTAACTCATAAGGCACTTGTCATAAGGGTTTCCCTTATTCTATGTATATATTTGTCATATAGTCTGTAAGCGTCCTGTTTGTTGATAATAATAATAAAATAATAAATAAATAAGCAATTCCTTCTCGGCTGCAAACGCAGGGAACACCCGAACCAACACTTACTGAAATAAAAGCCACTTTCTATGACATCCGACAAATGAAAACGAGCGTGATCTAAAGGTATACAATATGAAAAAGTAGCATTCAGTAGGCTGCGGATTTTAATCTCTACGACTATCTGCGTTTACTACTCACAATCAATTTATTTATAATTCAATGCATTATTTTAAATTTATTTTTTAATAAAAATAATGTAATGCCGTATAAGGCGAACAAAATTTTTGTTATTTCGGACATCAAAAATACTATATATTGTCATTAATTCAACCGTATTAAATCCATAGAATTCTCTCTTTTCATATGTCCATTTCTTTACCTAGCGAACTTTTCTCTTCTGCTTTAGTCACTGCCAATTTCGCACGTCCCAACTCAAAAGTATTACTTTGCTGTATATGTAGTACCTATTTGTATTTTCTACTCTTACCATCTTATCTCTTTTGTGACTTGCTGAATGCCAAGACTTACTTAAGTACCACGTAATTAAGTTAGGCGCATAAGCAAAGCAGCTATGTATTTATATTGACGTACTTGCTTTTTGGCTATTTATATACAAATGTACATATATACATGCATATTTATATACTAAAATGAATACCTCGCTGCCACACAATGTACGAGTATCTGTACAATTCCCAAAAGGCAACACACGATCTGACATTTCGTTACATTTTCTTCCATTTGACGTTTATCAAAGATGTCAATACAAGTCAAGATATTTTCTTTTTCGTTGAAACTATCAAAACGAATAGCTGGAGGTGTTTACACTATGTGCGTATGTATCTATAGAGCCTTAGTTGACTTTTGAAATTTGCAGATAAAAAGTGGAGAAAAGTACACATTTTCCTCTTTGTGTCAAGGTTATTTGTTGTTTTTGAAATTTGTGTCCTTTTCTTGTCGCAAACAGTTAATTAAAAGAAATGTGCTTAAGTAGGTACATATAAAGTGTTATAAATGGTGTTAGTGGCGACAAATGTTACGTATACGCCATGTACCCTGCTGGTTTGAAATATAAAAAAAAAAAAATCAGATTTAGGCATTTGCATACCTATTTATTACAGGAATATACATGTTTGGCAAGGTCTATTGTGCTATGAAGGTGTACTAAATATTACATATAATTTTACCTCGATTCATATAAAATAATTTCGATGGCCTGGAAGCTAGCTCTCCACTAGTTATTAACTAATAATAGCACAGTCTAAAAACAGAATAACCATAGTTTAATTTAAAAAGAGACCAGCATACTGACTATTTTTGCTAAACACACCATGCCTGAGTTTTGTTTTAAATATTTGTACTGAAAGGTTAAGGAGCCATACGTGTCTCTGTACCGCAGGCACAACGTCTCTAAGGGATATGTATATACGTACATAGATAAAGCAAGGGATAACGCCAAAGGTAAAAATAAAAACAAAAGCAAAGTTGCGTAAAGATAAGGGCAAAAATTAAGATCAAGGTAAATTTAAACACTTTACTTATATAAGGGCAAAGGAAAAGGGGAAGCGGGAATATGTCGATGAAGAAAATGATAAACATAAAGCTACCAGCTAGCAAAGATAAATATAAAGAAAAAGATGAGGTTCAGGATACCGATGAGAGATGAAAAGAGAGGAAGAAAGTTTAAAATAAAGGCAGTTATAAAGAAAAGGGTATGTGTATATAGAGACACAGAGGCTCAATCTGGGAAGTATTTCGGGGTTTTAGAGTTTTTCGGGATTATCGGAACTTATCGATGTAATAATCGATATTTTTATAGATTTTTTTATCGATATTGTTATCTATTTTGCTATCGATATTTTCGGAGCTTATCGATATAATATTTAGGTATTTTTTTTTTATCGATTTTGTTGTATATATTTTTATCGGTATTTTTATGGATTTAGTTACCGATATTTTGATCAATTTTGTTATCGACTTTTTTATTGATTTGGTTATCGATATTTCCGGCACTTAACGTTTTAAGAATCCATATTTTTATCGATTTTGTTACCGATATTTTTATCGATATTGTTACCGTAATTTTTTATTTATTTTGTTATCAATTTTTTGCGATATTGTTATCGAGTTTGCTTTTGATAGTTATTATCGAATTTGTTATTGAGATTTTTATCGATTTTCCTTTGGATATTTTCGGAACTTATCGATATAATAATCGATATTTTTATCGGGTTTTTTCGATACTTTTATCAATACATCTAGGTGATATAAAAGATAAAAAAGAAAGATGAAGACCAAGGTAAATTTAAACACTTTGCTTTTATTTATAAGAACAATAGGGTATAAAGATAACAATAAAGATAAAGGAAAACATAATGACATACTAAATGCAATTAGAACGAAAAGTGTGGCCCAGGTGCACTTACTTGTTTATATTATGATAACGAATTAAAGTTATAATTAAGTAAAGTGAAAAAAGTATGATAGTAAATAAAACAATTCCTTTTAAAAAATATAATCTCTGCTTAAACATTCTTACAGTTCCCACTAACTAACTAACCGAATAACTAACCGAATCATTGAATAAAAAAAAAAAATGATGACTTCCTAAAAATTTCTCAAAGCAGTGAGTTTTGCCATTTGACAACTTAAAATGCAACTAAAACGCTTTTCTTGTTTACTTTCGAGTTTTTAGTAAACAACTGCGCGTTAATCCCGTAACCGTAGCTTAACTATTAGCTAACTTTATTTCCGTCTCCTCAATTTGCCGCACGCTATCGCACTTACCTCTACCAACCCGTACTTGACAGCAATTTCTCCTACCACTTGCGCAACTAAATAGCGCACAGTTTTCGAACTTAAAGTTTATAAGTTGTCTTGCAGCAAATTAACTGCCTGATTTCTTTCAAACTAACTATACCCTTAATTCCACTAAAGCCACCATCACTTCAAAGGCAATTAAGTTGTAAAGTTTTTTTTTTCGAAGTTAAAAGTACAAAGTATATGTACATATGTAAATAAAATTTTCATATTGCTGCCACGGTGTTTTGCCAGCAAAATTGCAAAACTAATTAGTTGTAATTATGCAATATGCCACTGGTAAGAAAGACTACAGCTTTCTGGAGGCGTCGGGTTTTTTTTTTTCTTCACGCGCACATGCTCTTGCCTTATTGCTCATTTTCCGTCATTCTAGAGCTCGCTGTCCC